TATTCTATCCTTGTGTTGAATTTTTGGAATCTTGACTCTGATATGCCTGGCTGTAGGTTTTCTTTTCATCAGGGCTACTTAGAGTTTTATATGCTTCACTTAAGTGTGCGTCGTGTTCATTTTTCTACCAGTGATGCTTTCTGCCATGATGTCTGTGAACTGGTTTTTTTTTCTTTAACTATCATTAGTGCTATCTCCTGTCTTTCCATTGACTCCAATCAATCTTACGTTGTTCTTCTTTGCCTCATCCAGCAGCTGCTCTATTGATTTCTCATGATCCCTTGTTATTTTTAAGAATTTTTTTCACGATTGCTAATTGCAACCCTGTCTTCCGTATCTGAGATCTTGTCCTCACATTGGCTTAATCTGCTGAAGGCTTTTTGTTTGGTACCAAGAACAGAAGTCGGGACTTTGGACTTGTGAGGCAAGTACTGCACAGCTGAGCTACATCATGACCTGCGTTGCAGACACTTTCAGTGGAACTTTTGTCCTCCTGGATGTCTGACTGAACCTGCCTGTGGGTTCTGTACCTTTCCTACGCTGAGCACTCATGGCTTCTATCATTTTCTTAAGCTCCTATTTATTTATTTATTTATTTATTTATTTTTGGTCTATATCTGTTCTAGAGTTACCAAGCATGGTTTTCACTGTGGACACCATCTCTTCAGTCATCTGAGAAATTATTTCTGGTTTGATTTTTTTCTAGAACCTCATTCGGTTGATTTGTTGTTACCACTTAGTGAGGCCAGGTGCGCAGCTTCTGGACTGTCCCCTCCCGGCCTCCGGGTTCGCCTTTGGTGAACTGCATGCCTGGGTTGCACCTTGTCTTCCCCTTTTCTTTTCTTGCTTAATTCCTGGGGCAGTGCTTGTAATTGCCCATGGTGGATTGCTTTATTGCTAGTATCTAGAAGCCTTAGGAAATGACTACTTCTTTTAGGTATCTTCCAGTTGTAGTTGGATTTTGGGTTTTAAGTCTACTGCAAGATCATTCCTCTTCAATTTATTGGGGATGAGAAGTTGCTGCCTGTTTGGACCAGCTCCTGTTTTGTTTTTTTCACTGTGCCACACTATTTTCGATGACCCTTACTCACTCTCAGTCTTGAAATACTATGAAGAATAGCTGTGTAGAGCACGGATAGCACTTTTGGCTAAAGTCCTTCCATCAGCAATAGTAATAGCATCGAACACAGTCTAGAAAATGACAGACAGAGGTGATCATCAGTTTGTCATCTTTAATCTCATGACCGAGATTTGTGGTTATATAACAAAATCTGAAACAAAACCAGGAAATTATGTGCAGTGTACCAGTACCAGTCCTTAATATGTCAATTTTGCCCTTGGGTTAAAATTTAAAATGGGTTAGTGAGAAAATGGAGAAGTGGAAGAAGAGATTAGAAGTAAGGGAGGACAAAGGAGACCATGCCAACTTTGGGAAACTGATGCAAAAGACTGAAGAGAAGGACAGAAGGAAGAGATAAAAGGAAGAGCTGAACAGAACCACAACCACTAGAACCTGTGCTCAAATTAATATAAAAGCAAGATTACTCAATGAGGGAAAAACAAAAAACAAAACCACCACCACCACAACACAGGAGAGATAGGGGAAAAAAAAAAAAAAGTCCACTTCCAGGTTTTTCTCCGCTGTCACTGGTAGCCACGGTGTGGAGACCGAGTCCTGATCCACACTGATTTATCCCAGAAAGCCAGCAGCCCCTTTTCGGCAGGTTAGTGCATAGTTTCAGTGAGAGCCTGGCCCATACCAGACCTGCTCAGATTGCAGCAGTCAGAGCCCCTTCTGCGGTCTGCACCGTGGGGCCGCTCCTCCGTGGGGCCGGGTCCGCACCGTGGGGCCGCTCCTCCGTGGGGCCGGGTCCGCACCCTGGGGCCGCTCCTCCGTGGGGCCGGGTCTGCACCGTGGGGCCGCTCCTGGGGTCGGGAGCCGCTCCGAGTTCTGAGCCCGGCCCGCCCCTTCCCAAGAAGTCTTCCCTCCAACTTTCTCTCGCGTAGGACGCCTGCGCCCTCCACACTCAGCCCGCCAGTGCAGCGCTTCCCGCTCGCTGCTCCCCTCCGGCGCTGTGTCTCCCCTGGAGGCCTCTGGGGTGGCCAGCAGTCGCCACGAGCCTGCAAGTCTGAATTGTTGTCCAGCCAGCGAGTCCTGTCTCCGCGGGCTTCAGTCCACACCTCCTGGGCCCAGTGGACCCACCGCCTTCTACCTTCCCACAGCGCCATACTCCAGCGGCTGGATGTGGGCTCTTTCCCTGCCGCTCTCTGGTCCTCCATCCTGGTGCTCTCTCAGGAAGGACATCGTATGTGTCGTGTAAAATAGACCTCACCCCTGAGAACTAGTAACCTGGGCTTGGGTTCCATGTGAAATGAATAACTCATGCTTTTCTCTTGCCAGTCAACTCTTGTATTAACTGGGTTCAAAGATTCAGCGCACAATAACTAAGAGGGCTGGCAAGGCTCTCCTCCCTTCCAACAGAGAACTCTGCTTTTGAGCAAGTATCATTACTAATGACTGAATATCCCACGGAGGCCACAGTCCATTCTCCCTTAGTGAGATTTGGGGGAGAAGGATGAATTCCTTTCATTAAAATTCCTGTTTTATTGGCTCTAAAACTCACACTGTCATCCAGAGCACTGACAGTTTATAGTAGGTAGTGTGTTACAGTCACCGTTGGCTGTGCAGCAGTCGTGATGCGGTGTGCACTGCTTACACACGCACAAGCCCAGTGGTAATCCTTGCTGGTGATTCAGCTGCCGTGATCTCCGTCTGTCATGAATTTATAGAAAGCCTCCTGGAAAAGAAACATGGGGCCGCTTGTCTAAAAACTTTCCATTGTCTACACAGCAAAGGAAATCACTAACAGAGTGAAGACCCAACCTACAGAATGGGAAAAAAGTTGCCAGCAGTTCCTCAGAGGACTAATATCTAGACTGATATAAAGGACTGAAAAATTCAGACCTTCCAAATTAAAAAACCCAATTAACAATGGGCATCTAAAATGAATAGACACTTCTCACATAAAGAAACACAATGGCCAATAAATACATGAAAAAATATTCAACACTTCAAAAATGCAAATTAAAACAATACTGAGATTCCATCTCATTCCAGAAAGAATGGCTACAATCAAGAAACCAACCAACACTAAACGCTGGTGAGGTTGTGGGGAGAAAAGAGTCCTTCTCCAGCGTTGGTGTAACTATAAACTGATACAACCACTATTGAAATCCGCAGAGCAATTCCTCAAAATCCTAAAGGTAGAAATTCTATCTGACTCAACTCTTCCCCTCCTAGGTATCTTCTCATTAGGGTTAAAGACATCATAGGGCCGGCAAGACAGCTCAGTGGACTAAGCGCTTGCCTAGCCAAGCTCAGGAATGGGGTTTAATCCCCGGCACCATATGCCGGCCCGCCCCAGAGAGGGTTAAACCACTGAGTCTGAGCGTGGTGGCGCAAGCCTGTAATCCCCGCGCTGGAGCGGATGAAAACAGGAGGATCTCTAGGAGTCTGAGCTGCGTAGAGAGACCCTGCACAAAATACATTTTTTAAAAAAACCCTAAACAACAAACAACAAAACAAAACAAACAAAAAACCAAGCAAACAAAAAACCCCAGTAAAGACATCATACCACAGTGATGTGTGCATACCCATGTCTAGTGCAACTAATAATATAGCTAACTCTTGGAAACAGCCTGTAAGTTCATTAGCAGATGAATGGATAAAAATGTGGTATTTATACACCATGGAGTAATACTGTCTCATATAAAAAAGGATAAATAAGTCATTTGTAGGAAAATGGGTGCACATTGAAACCATTCATGACTGTGGACTGAAAACTTATCCAGAAACATAGAGATTCTGAAAACAAATAAGAATCCCTTAATTAATTTTTGCTTGTAATTTTCTTTTTGCATGTGCACAAGAATGACGTATAACAAATGTATGGTGTACGACAATGTATTTTAAAATCAGAATCGATTAAAGCATTACAAGTAGCTTAACTGGGCACAGCTTTCCTTATAACAGCAGCCCGTCTTTTTGGTCTGAGGTCTCAGGGGAGATCCAGCCCGGTACCCCTGGGGTCCAGTCCCTGGGGCCGGGACAGGGCCCTTCGCAGGCACGAAGGGGGACATCCGACTGACGGTCCTCACAGACTGCTGCCCAGGGCCTCTGCCGCGTCCTTGCCTGGACCCGCCCACCCCACGCCAAACACAAGGAAAGCGGCCAGACGTCGCCTTCAGAAGAACAAAAAGCCTTCGCCCAGCATCGTGGGACCCGCCTGGCTTTTATTTAGAAACCGTCCGGCAGTCACAGAAGCCAAGCGGGCCCGAGGTCGCCCATCTGCACTTGGCTCCAGCCCCGCCACTCCCTGGCTGGGATGGCCTCGCCGACGGACTTCCCTCGCAGGGTCCCGCGCGGGAGCGCCACACGAGCGACCCGCCGCGCAGGGGTCCGGCCGACCGCGCCCTCTGGCCCGCAGGGGTCACCTGCAGGCCGCGCGCTTCGGGGGCCGGAGGAGAGGCGCAGGGCCGCCCGAGAGCCGGGCGGAGCGCTCCCCGGAGCTCGTTCCCGTCCCGCGCCGCGCGGAGCCCGCAAGCGAGGCTCGCGGCCTCGGAGGACTGGGGGCTCGGCTCCGTGGGCGGGATCCGCGCCCGCTGCGGCGGGGCGCAGGGCGCAGGGCGGCCGGCTCCTCCGGGTCTCCTTTTGTTGTACTTTTGTCAGGGAGAGCTCTGGCGGGCTCTTCACTATTAAGGGGCGTGAGGTAGCGTGCGTGGGCAGAAGCGCGGAGACCGCGCTGGTGTTGCTGCAACCGGGTCCTGCTCCCAAGCGGACGCCCCCGTGGGCGTGGCCGGGAGCCTCTGAGGGGCGTGGCGTGGGCGGGCCCTACGTGGGCGGGTCCTGGCGGGGCGGGGCTTAGGGCGGGGCGGGGCTTGGGCGGGGCCTGAGGCCGGGGGCGGGGTCTGTGGCCGGGTGTCCCGGGCCGGCTGGGCAGGGGAGGCGGGCAGACGCCTCCGGCGGTGGCCGCGCTGCATAAAGCGCGCCGCGCCGTGTCGGGCTCCTTTTCGAGGCGCTGGAGCGGCCATGGGCGCCGCGCACTGGTGGGACCAGCTTCGGGCCGGCAGCTCGGAGGTGGACTGGTGCGAGGACAACTACACGATCGTGCCCGCCATCGCCGAGTTCTACAACACGGTGCGGGCGCGGGTCGGCGGGGACAGCGGGGCTCGGGTCTTCCTCCTCCTGTCGTTTCCTCTGACGGCTTCATTGTCCGGCTCGGTGCCTACTGGTCCGGAGCCGGTGGTCCGTGCCATCCCCTTCTCCGCTTGGGGTCCTTTGGGGGCTGGGGGTCCTCCAGGGCGCCTCTCTGCCCCCTGGGATTTCGGCGGCTGGACGCACCGGCCGCCGCCTGAACACCTGCGCTGGGAGCCGCGGGACGGGGACGTCCCGCACTACCTGGGGACGCCACCAGGCTGGCGGGCGCGGCTCTGCGGATCGTGGAAACGTTTGTGACCAGAGCCAGGCTAATTTCTGCAAGTTCTTTTTTCTTGGCTTTACTATCCCATCTTGCTTAGCCCAAGTTCAACTGCTTCAAGCCTGTGCTTTTTCCTGTTCTTAAGTCTTTCGGGAGGAAAGAAGCTGGGGAGAGAGTGTGTGCGTTCTCTGGAGGTGCTCTTCAGGGCGAGCAGGCACTTCCCCTCTGCAGTCCTGGAGCCCCGTCGTCGTGGGAGGGAGGGCTCGCCCTGGGAGGGAGTGCCTAAACTTTGCTCTGTGCCCCTTCAGGAGCGGTGTAAGACTTCGCATGATCATTTCTGTGGCTTATCTTTTCATTTTCCAAACACAGAAAACAGGAACTCCTAGTTTGAGTCATTGTGAATTTGGGGTTAAGATTTTCCCCCTTGGATTTATTCCATTTTATTTTATTTCTAATTACTTTGGGATAGGGTCATGTAAATTTGCCAGGGCAGGACTCCACCTTACAATGCCCTGCCACAGATGTGCACCGCCTTGCCTGACAGAACTAGACTTGGGGAGGGGCTGTCCTGCCCTAGACTGGGGCCAGAGTCCAGAAGTCTTCTTTCTCCCTCACAGTGCCAAAATGCAGGGCTGCCCCCCCCCCCATCGTCATTGCTCCGGCTATGACCCATTGTCTGTGGGGCAGCATTGACCAGCCCTCCTGTTTAACCACTTGCTAGTGTGTGGTTTTGCAGGACCAGAGACTGGCATAGTTCTCTAGTGATGAGGGCAAGCTCCTGCGATGTTCCTGGACTCGGCATTGGCTTGTGCACGCTGTGGGCTAAGTGGGCGCTGTCTGGAAGTGCGCTGTGGGGCAACCAAAGCTGTTGTGTGGTTTTACTTGAGACTTTCCTGATTTTTAAAACTGAAAGTGAGCCGGGTGTGGTGGCTCACGCCTGTGATCTAGCACTTGAGAGATGAGGAAGCAGGAGGATCAACCGTGAGTTTGAGGCCAGCCTGGGCTACATAGTGAAACGCTGTGAGCCTTGCAAAATAAACAAAAAACCAAAACCCAAAACTGAAAATGCCATGTCCCAGAGTCCTTGTAAGTCCTACACAGACCCAGTAGGGCACCCAGAGGCAGGCGTAGTGAATGCAGAGCTAAGGATGGACAGACGATCGAGACTTGCAGTCACTCCCAGGCTGCCGTCCTTATCTGCTTATGAACTGGCTGTTCACAAAGTTTGCAGCCTGTGGCTTTGCCTGGGAAAATGCACACTCAGATGCGTCAGGATGAGATTGCAGTGTGTTTTTGAGATTACTTTGGAGCAAATGTTAAGTAGGAATCCACAGAATGAGGAACTTTTAAAGGAAATAATTAAAACATTTTGAAATTGTGGTTTCCTTTTAATTAAAAAAGATCTGTCTGTAGGCATTAAACAAATTTTCAGGAGGATAATCCAATGATAAACTTTGAAAACACTCCTGAGCCGTACTACTCCACAGCATTAGTGATCCCTAAAGCCTTGAAAGAGGTTCATTTCTCAGTAGAGATGGAACCCATTTGCTTTTCTGTATTTCCTGTTAGTTTTTCCTCTTTTTGTCTTAAGGAGAGTCTCCCTTTAATTGGAGCTTTTCCCTTCTGTGACTGGTATTTTTAGAAGGACTGTGAAGGCCAGCGAGGCTGAGATGGGCTTTATGGGAGAAAAAAATGATTTCACTGTTATTTGGGAGCATGTGTCAATATAGTGCTTCTAAATGGTGCTTCTATATTTTCTTTTTACATGTATTTGTTACAGGATCTCACTATGCAGTGCGCTAGGATTACAGGTGTCAGCCGTCATGCCTCGACTCTGCGGCCAGGTCAGGGTGCCTAGGGGTGTGGCCAGCATGGCATGTGGTACTGGGGACCAAACCCCGGTCTCTGCACTTGCCTAAGCAGGTGCTTGGTCCACTGAGCTATCTTGCTGGTCCTAAGTGGTGCTTCTAACATGTGCATTTAAAATCATGTTGAAGTATCACAATTTTACTGCAGTTTGATAGTTGACTTCCTGCCTTTGTGAATAGTATATAAATAGATTTATTTATTTATTTATTTATTTATGTATTTTGTTGGAACCGGGGATTGAACTCAGGCCCTTGTACTTGCCAGGGTATAAGTAGTTTTAAACAAGATGTCTACAACTCCAGCTACTTAGACGCTGAGGCAGGAAGATCGCAAGTTTGAAACCAGCCTGGATAGCATAGTGAGGCTGTCTTTCACAAAGGGGGGGGGTGGGGCTGGAGATGTAGCTCAGTGGCAGGATGCTTGCATGGCATGCATGGGGCCCAGGGTTCAAGCTCCACTACTGCAATAAAAGGAGAAGGGATTGATGTGCATGTCGTCATGTTGCTGGTAGTAATATGACCTGATCGAGCCATCCAGAGAACAGCGTGGCAGTTGATAGCTGCACTTAACTGAAGCTAGGGAAGTTGAAGGGATTGGAGGCCATAAAGACATATTGCGGTAAAAGTTAAACGCAGCGCATCTCCCAGCGTTGTAGGCAGGACTGCAAACCAGTGCTCCCTCACCTAGAAGCTGGCGCGATGAGTGCTGCTGTGTGCAGCGCTCACAGCAAGTGAACTATTTCACTAGGGTGAACAGGTGGCCAGGCATACTGTTGAATGGGAAAAGGCGGGCGCAGAATGGTGGTATTACAGTCTCTAACATACATATGTAATGCGTTCATGTAAGTACGTGGAAAAGATGTGAAGACTGAATTTAGTGGTTGTCTCTGGGAAAGAGGGTAGAAAAGAGACCGGCTCTGTAATAATCCCTTTTTCCTAAGGAGAGCGTGTGCATATGTATGCAGAGAAAAAGAAGAATTTACCTGTGGTGATATATCAATCTCTCTTTTCTTCTCCTTTCCTTCTTCATCGCCTCTTCTTCCTTCTACTACTGTATTTAACAAAAGGAAGCCAAGTGTAAACCGCAGGATGGGTCGGCTGTGTATGGTCTGTGATACAGCTCCCCATTTTAGGTACCTTTGAGAGGAAAGGTCAGGTTCAGAGTGTGGGTGGATGCATCGGAGTTGAGAATCAGTTTGGTCTAGAGGAAGGTGTTATCAGGCAGTGCTGTGTGACTGATTATCTCTGACCTTGACCAACCCTGCATCGTAAATTATATCCCCTTGCAAACAAGGGGTGGCTCTGATGATTCCTGTCTCTAGGCCTCTCTCTCTGTAGTGCTAGGGATTGAATCCAGGGCCTTTGTAATGAGCCAGCTCCCCAGCCCTTTTTCACATTTCTTGAGACAGGGTCTCACTAAATCATTGGGTTGCTCAGACTAGGTTTGAACTTTTGACCTTCCTGTTTTAGTCTCCAGAGCGCTGGGATTGGAAGTATTCACCACCATGCCTGGCTGGACACCTTTCATTTGAACCCTGAAAAATCTTTGATTCTAGGGCCAGCCAGATAGCTCAGTGGACTAAAATGCCTGCTTGGGTAGGCACAGGGACCAGGGTTCCATCCCCAGCGTGCCTTGCTGCCCTGCCCATGAGGTGCGCTGAGGCTGCGATTGAGACTGGGCGTGGTGGCCTGCGCCTGTAATTCCAGCACTTGGGAGGCTGAAAACAGGAGGATCACTACGAGTCTGATCTGTGTAGTGAGACCCTGGAGACCTTGTACTAAATACATTTAAAAGAAAAGAAAGAAAGATCTCTGATTCTTGATATGGTTGTGTTGAAAATAAAGGCCATGATCATAACCATGAAAACCAACACCTGCTGACAGCGCTGGCACCCTTGTCCTGATTCCTTCTAAGGTGCTTTTGGGTAAGTGCACATTGGCTCTGTTTTCAGCCTGAGGAGCACTTGGGGCACCTCAGAGCACCTCAGTTTATCAGCCACGGTCACCAGTGTGCAGCGCATCCGTCCGTGGATCGCGGCACCAGCTAGGTGCGGCCCGTGCTTGCAGCCCCGCAGCCCAGGATTGCATCCTGGATTTCAGTCCGGGGCAGTGGCTTTGCTCCCATCCTGTCCATTCACAGGGTTTCCTTCTCCTCTCTTGTTTTATTTCTCTTCACTTCTTTTATTCTTGCTGCTTTTACTTGTTCTATTTCTCTTCCACTTGGTCTTTCTCTCCTTCTCAAACGGTGTTATTCGCAAGGGGCTGGCCCTGTGCGTGCTCGTGGGAGCGTTTCCTGCGGCTGTGCGGCCTCCGCTGCCCCCGCAGGCCTGCGGCCCCCTCTCCGCTCCTCCTAGGCAGGCTCTCAGGAGCATGCGGACCAGTCCTTGCCGCTTCGGCTGCCATGGCGCCTGCCTTCCAGGCTCCGTCTCCTCGCCTCTGCGCGCTTCTCTTCTTTGGGTCCTATCGCCCGTGCTGCTGCTCGCTGAGCGGCTGCGTTGCCTTGGCGCAATCCGGAATGAGGACCTCCGCCTTGCGCAGCGGGCCACGAGATTAGAAGTCCGGCTGTCTCTGCCACTCCTCCTTCCACGATGGCTTTAGGTAAAAACAGCTAAGCACTGTCACGCATCGGCAGGGCCAGCACCCTTCCGTGTGCGCCGGTGCTCACGCAGGGAGGCGCCGCCCGCTGTGGGGACAGCGCGGTTTCCCACGAGGTGAGTGTAGGACGACCCTTCGCCGCTGCCTCAGCCCGTGACGCATAACCACACAAATGGGTTTCCGTGGTTCTGAACGCCGGCAAGTCCCAGAGGGATGCGGGCGCCCCGGATTTCTCTCCTGGTGGGGGCCGGCCGCCTCTAGCTGTCACTGGCCGCGTGCTGTGTGCTCCACGCTCCCTCACACCTCTTGGCTGTTGTGCTTTTCTCCCATACTTTTTATTTTTTCTAAGCATGCTAATCCTGCTCGTGGGAGCTCTGCCCTAGGAGCGAGACACCTTGGGAAGGCCTTGCCTCTCACGCGAGGCCACTGGTGGGTCAGTTTTAGCGCATGATTTGAGGAGGCACTTCCGTTCATAGCACCCAGCAGCCGTTAGCAAATCAATGGCTACGTAAGGTGTGGTCTGTCTCTACAGTGGAATATTATTCAGCCATAAGAAAGAGTAAAATACGGATTAGTGCTACAATTGGGTGGACCTTAGAAATATCGGGCGAGGTGAGAGGAACTAGTCACATAAGGTTACAGTACATCGTATGACTGCGCTGACACCAGTTGTCTCTGGCAAGAAAGCCAAGACAGACAGGGCAATTAGCAGTTACCATGCAGTGAGGGAGGAGAGATCGGGGTACTCTGTGGACACAGGGTTTCTTTTGTGGTAGGAACACATTTTGGAATTAGAGGTGATGGTTGCCCATTATGAATGTATTAAGTGGCACTGAATTATGTACTTTACAATGGTTAATTTTATGGTCAGTGAATTTTATCTCAATTTTAAAAATCCAGCATAAAAAGCTGTTATTTCTTTTTTTAAAATCCCAAATAATCAAATAGCAAATAATAATTAATGAAATCGAAGTGAGGTTCCAGAGTTCTGCCTTCTAATGGAGCTATTCCTGGCCCAGGTGGCCTTTGGGCACAGGAAGTGTAGCGAGCCTGACTGAGGCTTGCTGCACTTGCAAAACCACAAAACTGTGCTATGAATGAAGGAATGCAGGGATCTCCTTAAGGGTATTTTTAATTTATTGCTTGTTTGTTTGAGTTGGAGTCTCCCCAAGTACCCCAGGCTGGCATGGGACCACCTTTCCTATAGCTAGGATTACGCGCATGTGCCACCATACCTGGCTGGTGATGGGGCGCTAGTGCTCCAGCAGTATTTTGAATATATTGCATTCAATAAGATGTTAAAATTTTAAAAACAGCTGATGCCTCCTGGAGGTGTAACAGGCTTAAATCTACATGAAGTGCCAAATAAAGTGATCTCATTTTAAAGCTGGGTGGAAACTTAGAAACTTGACCTTTACCTAAAAATAGGTTTTCATTAGGGTGAGAAAGCTGACAAAGGGTGATTAAGGAGAAACTCGGCTGCTTTCATGGGCAGATTGATTGTAGAAGCTGGAGAATGTCTGCTCTTGTCACCCATTCCTCAGACTAGTTCTACGTTTGGTTTTGTTTTGCTTTGCTTTGCGTTGTTTAGTGTATGCCTTCTCTTTGAGAAATGTAGGTGCATGGAAAATAGAGCGCTTTATAATCAGCCTGCTCAGGAAACTGCAAGGGACTGGTCTTTTGAACAGGAGAAAAGCCTGGGCTGCTTTCGCAGGATGAGGGCGACACTCCACGCCCCTCTGCCCCCAGTCTGGCGAATTTGCAATTAAAAGAGGCAGCCAGGAGCGCCCCCACAACTGTCAAGAAAGAAGCTTTAAGTTTTCCTGTTGTATATTTGCCAGAAAACAAAAACAAAGCCCGAAGGGCAGGAGGTTAGACAACACGTGTGGCCACATTCATTCTGGTTTGGGAAGGACATGCTTGGAACAAGCTGCTTTTATTGTTTGCCCTTTTGCTTAATATTCATCTTTTCATTTTACATTTTCCCCTCCAGATCAGCAACGTCTTGTTTTTCATTTTACCGCCCATCTGCATGTGCTTGTTTCGCCAGTATGCAGCGTGCTTCAACAGTGGCATCTACTTAATATGGACCCTTTTAGTTGTAGTGGGTAAGTGTGGACTGCGTGGTAGCAGAGGAAGGGCGGAGATGAGGTGCCGCACGGAATGTTTTGTGAACCAAAGTTACTCTGACGTCTTAGCAGAGGCATGCACTGGAGGTCAAAGGTTTCCTGAGTGCAGGCTTGACAGCAGGGCTGCTTGTAACTCACACAGAACTGCGTTTGAGGCTTGCAGTTTTCTGAGACCATCTGAAGAAAGCAACTTAAAAAAAAGTTAGATGTTGGGTCCTCATTACCTTCATTGTTCTGTGAAATACTTATGTAATTTCCATTTCCTTCCCAGGCAGATTGGAAATTCTTAGCAGTGAGATAACATTGACTTTTATTTATTGCCTGTTCCAGTGAAGCTCAGTGGATGAAGACAGAGTGTGCTTAGCTGTGGGATTGTTACAATTCTGATGTGTTGATATGTATGTGTACTGGGAATCTTTCATCTTTCTGGACTGGAGGCTGCAGGCCTGAGTGTCTGTGTCTGTCCTCAATTTCTTTTTTTGTTTTTCAGAGAGGGAGCTCTCTCTGAAAAACAAAAAAAGAATTTATATGACAGAGAGAGAGAGAGAGAGAGAGAGAGAGAGAGAGAGAGAGAAAGAGAGATTGAGATTCGGTGATTCTGACAGTTGGCTAAGGGCTCTCCTTAAGCAGTGTGCCACATTTGTGTGTCTGTTCTTCTCCAGTGACTTTGTTTCATTGGGTGCAATTTGATTGACTCTAGGAATTGGATCCGTTTACTTCCACGCCACCCTTAGTTTCCTGGGTCAGATGCTTGACGAACTTGCGATCCTGTGGGTTCTGATGTGTGCGCTGGCCATGTGGTTCCCCAGAAGGTATCTGCCAAAGATCTTCCGGAATGACAGGTGAGTTTATGCTAAACACCTCCGTGCTCACCACTAAGGATGGTACACGACTTAATGTGAACGCTGAGAAAAGCAGCACGTGCCTGACCTCGCCCTAGTGACAAGCGTAGTTTGTGCTTGCTTAGTGCCCCTGGACTCTCATGATCTTACAGCGTAATGGAATGGACCCAAAGGAAGAAATGTTAATAAAGCGTGGGAAAGAATTTATATGACAGGGGCTGGCCAAATAGCTCAGTGGATTAAAGTGCCGGCAAGCACCCCCAGGGCATGCTGAGACAGGCAGTTGAGACTGGGCGTGGTTTTGTGTGCCTGTAATCCCAGCTCTTGGAAGGCTGTAAACAGGCGGATCACTGTGAGTCCGATCTAGTAGTAAGACCCTGAACACCCTGTAGACCCTTCCCTAAAATACAAAAAAAAAAAAAGAATTTATATGATGGTGGGGACAAAAGTTCAGAGATGGGATTTATTTGATATGAGCAGAAAAACTTTGAATAGGAGAGAAATGTCTGGATCGTAGTTCAGAGACATTATTTCCTGCTGAACATATCTCGAGTACGGCCCAGCTCTCCCAACTTTATATCTAGGAGGGAAAGTACTTCCCAGTTATTTGGTTCTTAGAGTGCTAGAGCCGGTTTTCGAATTGCATTTTTCTTTGCTTCTGGTTACTGTCTCTGACACTCGCTCATTCGTGAGCATCTCCAAGCACTTTACCGTGTACTGTGATGTCCATCGTATTGGGGTGCTATGATTATTCATCTAGTAAATATTTTTGAGTTCTTATTTTATACAGTGCATATTTCTGTTTTTTTAATGCATATATCTAAACACTAAGATATAGCAATAAACAGAACTGCAGAGTTTCTCCCTGTGCTGAAGTTGTGCAGCTTACAAATCACACGAACAGGAAGTAACACAGTGTTAGAGGGTGCTAGATGTTGTGTTGAACAACAGCACCTGCAAGGCCTGGTAGTGGTGGGGAGCTGACTGGGAGTGGTGGGAGAAAGCTGCTCGGAGGAGCTGCGTGGGGTTTGTCAGTGTCTGAAGACACAGAGAGGAGGCAGGCCGCTGAGAAAGGAGTGGTGGCTCGGCATGCCTTATCCAGACTTTCTGCACAGGACGCTGCATTTTGTCAAGGCATATGCAGTGTATGCATAAGTAGCCTGAAGTTACAGATTCAAGAAAGTGAGCTGTGTGTGCCCAGAGAAAAGCTGTCCCAGGAGAATGAAAGAATCCCTTAATGTTTATGCTACTTTCAAAAAGAACAGGAGCTGCTAGGTGTGAAATGCTTGGGCCGCTCTTGGAGGACAGAGCTGGGGCAGGGTCTATGAAAAATACCGACTGCAAGCACATGCTGTGGAGTGGGGGTGTGACATCCTAACTTTAGAGCGAAAGCACAGCCCTTTGGGAGGAGGCTTTCTATGTGCACAAATATGCCTGGCAGGGCAAGGCCCCCAGGCTGCAGCTGGTGGATGTTGTTCCCCACTGGTGTAAACAGGAACTCGTACTTGGATCTCTAATTTGAACTGGCTGCGATTTTTCTTTCCAGGAATACATATAAATTTTTAATGCTAGCATCTGATCTTCAAATGATTTAGGAAGAAAGCACATGTTATGTAGGTGAGCCCTACAGTCTGTCCTGGGAAGTAGGTGTGAATCGAGCAGTCTTACGTCTGAGTATCAGCGGCCAGGTGGGAAGTGCTCGGGGCTGGGACCTGGCTCAGCGGCACAGCGCCTGCCTGGAAAGCGTCCTGAGTTCGATTCCTGGTACCCGGGGTGGTGGTGGGGAGAAATGTGTTTCGGAAGGTTACTTATCAACAAAACGAGGATGAGAGTAAGCTCTGGGATTTGATGAAATGTGGTTTCTGTCTTAAGACCTTTGATTAGCAGAGAAAGTGTGCTTTTTACATTCACATCTGGAGTTTTGCTTGTTTGTTTTTGATTTTTTGATCCCTGGGACTAAACCCAAGTCCTTGTACATGCTACGTTCATACTCTACTAATCCGCTCTACTCCCAGCCTCAGAAAATAACAAAATGTGGCTGGGTGTGCGTGAGTGTGTGTGTGGTTGAGACACGGTCTTCTGTATCCAGGTGGCCTACATGTCACTCTAGCCCAGGCCAGCCTGAAACTCAATCTCAGTACTTCAGCTACTGACCAATGCTCCTGTGCCTGGCTCTGGTTCCTAGACTTGTTCTTTGGTTTTCTTTTTCAACTTTAGGAGAAACTTGGTAGATGATGTGAGGTGGAGCGCTCAAGGATGGGGCAGGGAGGATTTTGTAGGCAGGGACTCTGACTCTTCCTGAAGATTCATTGTCTTTTGGCTTTTTCTGCTATTTCACAAGGCAGAAAAGCCAGCTTTGTCCTTTCACTTAGCCTAGGGTAGGTACATCTGGTAAAGAGCTGAGGATTCACTTTTTTCATCTTTCATGTCCTGAGGTCAAGTAAGAAATTAGGGAGCTGGGGAGATAGCTCGGCAGTCTAAACACCTGCCTGGCAAGCGCAAGAATTTGCATTCAATCTCAGTACTGAATGCTGGGCCGGTCCTGGCTGGCCCTGAAACCAGGCATAGTGGCTCACACATGTAATCCCAGCCCTGGGGAGGCTGAAACAGGAGGATCACTACGAGTCCGAGCTGCATAGTGAGGCTCTGTACCAAATAAATAAATGAAAGATTAAAAAACATTAGGAAATAAGGTTTGTGTTATTTGTTTGTGTCATTCGGGAATCTTAGTTGAAATTCCAAGTGACAGTTTTCATTGTGTTAATTGTAGAGGCTTTTGCCTTTTCTTGTTTCTGGCGGTAGGGGTTGGGGGCGTGCTGTAGTGAACAGAGAGAAAGCGATGACGTCGGCAGTTAGACTGCACCAGCTGGAGCAGCGGGAACGTATGGTGAGACAGAGGTTTCTGTGGCTATCTGGGACTTTCCTGTCATCAGGCCTGCAGCACCTTTTGGGGGGGGACTGTAAACCTGGGACCCCCTCCTCAGTGTGGTGTTGTTGTGGAAGCCCCGTGCCTCGTCCTTGTCTCTGTGTCCCCGACTCTGGAGTCTGTGGGGTTCAGTCCTAGCTTTACTGCTCACAACTGACTTATCTTTAGTTTTCTATTTCCACATCTAGAAGAGGAGGCAAGAAACAAATAGGCGCCAGTGTTCTTGGGGGTTGTGGTCAGGCGCCATCTCTGAGTTCCCCTGGCCACCGGTGGTGTGCAGAAGAAGGTTCTGTCCAGATCTCTGAGCTCTGTGTGCAGAGGGCCATCGTCGGGCCCTTTAATGAACAGGACATCAGCGCTATTCGTCCACCTTCAGTTTCCCAGTGATAGGGAGGACACTCAGGCCAAAATGCTTTGTGTGGACTTTGTCACCCACGCAGGGGTCAGTGGAAGCTCTGCAGTGGGGGTGGGAAGCCCAGGACGAAGGATTTCTCTCCAAACCAGGATTGCTATGGACCAGGCATC